ACTTTCTTGATAGAGTCACGTAGGATGGTGAATCATTAAATTTTTAAAAACTTTATTACAGCCATATCAATCTACTTCAGACGTAGTCAGCATCACTTTGGAAACACTTGCCATAATATTCCTGCCACTTTCTGAAGCAGTTCTAGAAGTCTTCTTTTTTTTTTTTTCTTAAGTTTCTTTAGTCACTGTCATGGCTGTGTCTGTATCAGCTGGTTCCAAATATTTACCCTTCACAGTCATTTTTACTTTAGGGAAGAGTAAGAAGGAGATCTGATGAATAAGGTGGATGAAAACACACTATAATATATTGATTATCCCACCTTGCTGATGGATGACCAGTGGCAGAAGCATTCTCTGTATTTTTCTGCACAACTCATAGAGCTACTCACAAAGAGGACTTCCAGAACCTCTTCAGGGAGTGTCAAAAATGAGAAATGTGTTTGAAACAAGGGGTAATTTGGGGGGGTGTTAATGATAATGTATCATTTACTGTAATGATTTTTAAATGGAAACACTCACCATATGTTACAATCACCTTTGTATGGTGCACCAGAGAAGTTCATTAAAGACTCAGTGTCCAAGAGTTGTACTGACTTTGGTCACATAAACCTAATATGTCTAACACACATGAAAATGACTTCCAGCAGGAAAACAGATGTTTAGAATAAATCATATTGTTTGGTCAACAGTTTAGGTATAGTGAACTCTTCTAAACAAATTATAAGAATGGGTGGGAACTCTTGAGATAAATTCCCAGACTTTGCTCAGGGGCCAACCTTTAAGCCTTTCCAAAGAGAGTAGTTTCAGGTGGCATGCTACCTCAGTTCTCTCCTGCTCAGTCGTTTGAGTGACACTCAGCATCTGCACTGTGAACCCAGTGCCATCTCACCTGGGCACCTTCAGTGGTATCACCCACCCACTAAGTACTTTCAAGGGACATTTCGGGAAATCAAAGAAACAAAGCTGGGATCTGTCCTTAGTCAGCAGGGGATTTTTCAGGAGGATAAATGTGGGAAGGATTTGAATTTGGCTAATCCAAAGAGTTGGCCAAGAGAATTGAAAATCTCAGGAATATGCATGTTTTTTATTGGATGTCTCCCATGATATGGGGTATAGTTTTGTATCTAATCATCTCACACACTACATAGCATTTAATCTTCCAAAACACCCTGTGGAGTGCAGGTAGATACCCTTGAAATTCCTCCCTGTGAATAGGGCCTGCCAGACCCCAAAGCCCCTATGTGCCCTTGAGCCCAGGTAATACTCCCTGTGGCTGTGGGTTCAACTACTGACACCTGTCTATTTGTGCCTTAGGCACAGATAATTACTGGTCTCTGTTAATTCCCAAAATCCCCTCTTCACATTTATTTTCTTCCAGATAACCTGTGCTGTCTGCTTCCTGGCCTCTACCACTCCTATGTGTGGCCTTTTGTGTCTTTATTTCTTTAAAATGACAAGCTCCTTTCCTTGGCCCACCTCAACACCGGCTGCCTCTTGTCTGTTGTTCTCTCCTTCCTTCCCATGGCTTCTTCCCCTTAGGGATACACTTCCTTCAGAGTAGCTGACACTCTGTGAATATTTTGTGTTCCCCTAACAAGTTTCAGATTCTGTGGACTGGCTCCCATTCCATCATCAAATCTCAAACTATGATGGGAAAAGATGAGAATTTGTAAGTACTTGATGTTCTGGACAAACCAAAAGCAAACCCTGTGGTTTAAGGAATTACATTTCTATCACAGTCAAACATGGGCTATAATAAGGGAATGTTCAGCCAAGTACAACCAATGTCTGATTTTGAAATAAAGATACAAGCTCCAGAAGAAGAAAGCAAATCCAAGAATCTAAGACACATGCACTTAAAACAATTAGAGAAAATGGAAGAAAGTGTCAGGATCTCCATACAGGGATCCAAAATGTGGAGGAGTAAGATATTTGGGCCTGTTAGCTAAAAATCAAAGGATGAGCAGCTTTTATGGAACATGAGAAGACACGTAAAAAAATCCAGTCAAAAACTGGAGATCATTTTTGATGTCCAGGCCAAAGGACCCAGAAGAAAGTTGAAGGATTTTGCAGGGGCAGTTGGAAATAGAAGCAAAATCAGTTATATTTCAGCCTGGTTAATGTGAACAAGGGGGCAGATGAACTGAAGAGTCATCTGAAGCGATGCAGGCTGCAGACTGAAAAAGCCCCAGTCAGAGGGGCAGACACGTATTTTGTGGACACAGGACGTGGAATGCATGTATTTTGTGCACACAAAGCAGTGGAACACCGTGGATCCTTACCTGTCAGGCAGATCAGGAGTCACAGCAAATGGCAGGAAGTTCTAAACCCAGTGACCAGATGCGCCATGATGAGGAGCTGAAGATCTGTAAAAGCAATTTCAAGGTATTGAAGAAAGGTTGGAAATAACCATTTCCTCTCTTCAGAGGGCTATTCCACCCCTGATGAAAGGCTCAGGATTGGCTGACAGCTTGGAGGACTGACAGCTCATCACTACCAAGGAGGCCACATGTCTGAGACAATGCAGGCAAGAAAAATTCAACTCTGTCTTCTGAAAGTGCACCTCCATGTGCCCTACATTTGAATGGAGCTTGGCAGGAAGCATTTCTTCATGGTCTCTGGGCACAGGACACTGTTTTTCCTGGAACAGGATGGCCTCACCTTCTTCTGCTCAGCTTCTAGGCTGGGGCGCTTTGCCTTTTGGAAGGAGGAAAGGCCTTAGTTTCAATAGTGATTTAAAGAATGGCTTAAAGTCAGTCTAGACTACTATAACACCACCAAAGACTGGGTGGCTTAAACAACAGGTTATTTTTGTCTTAGAGTTCTGAGGCTCAAAAGTCCAAGATAGAGGCACTGGCAGATATGATTTGTAGATGGTCATATATATATTTTTGGTATCATTATATGGCAAAAATAAAAAAAAAATCCAAGAGAGAAAGATATACAAGGAGAGAGTTAAAGACAAATTTAAGAGCAGGGCTTCTGGCTATCACAGTTTCCTCACCATAACCCACCCCATGTAATCTGGAATGTATTTTCATCTCACTTTTTTCTCTATTTTCTTAGCCCAAGCTAATCTGGAATGTATTTTCATCTCCCTTTTTCCTCTATTTTCTTGGCCCAAGCTTGCTTTGTAGAACCAGTTTCTCTCTTACTCTTCACCTCTTCACTTTCACAGTTTCAAATAAATTTTGTCACTGCTTAACGGGGGGGGGAGAGAGTGAGAGCACCTCTTCAAAGGGCACTAATTCCATTTAAGAAGGCTCTACTGTCACAACCTAATTAGGCCTCTAAAGCTCCACCTAAAAATAACACCATATTGGAGATTTATCTTTCAACAAATTAATGTGTTGGGCACAAAAACATTCAGTGCAAAGATTGGCTAAGCCTTTGGACCCCTCTGTAATCATGCCTGAATATCCAGCAAAGGACATTATGTAATAATAACATCAAGGAAGCATCCTCAGCTGCTAGCTAACTTGAATGGCCAGTTTCTTTACCAGTGACAATGGTAGCTCCTCTCAGTTGTACAGGCTTAACATTTCCTTTTTCATTGTAAAGATTAACCTGAGTTTTGTTGGTACCCTGTTGGTGTGCAGACACAAAAAGTGCATTGCATTGAGCAGAAAAATGAGTACCATGCATATTACTAGGGAATGCTCCAAACCAAACAACTTTTCCCTATCCAAAGAGTACTCAGAAATATTCTTGTTCAGGCATTCACTGATCAGTTCAGTTCAGATTGGTTTTAATTTGGAGATTTCTCTGTAAGAATCAACTTTAATTGAAAATACAAAGATATCTGAAGCATTATTCACAGTTTAAACAAAGGACTGGACTGTGATATCCTTGTAATTGTAATAATATCTAATTGTAATTGTAATAATACCTGATTGATAATTTTAAAGGTAAGAAAAATATGGATTACCATCAGCAATAAAGTTTCTGTAGATTTCATCAATGGGAATTGTAAACCAAATAAACTATCCAGTGTTTATTTTGAAAGAGCATATTATTAAATATATTTTAATATATAAATATGTGATTACAAAGATGAACTATACAATCATATTTGTGTACATTCATATTATAAAATACATATTTAATGATGTGACACACTAACAGCTCTTAAATAAGATCTTTGAGACCATTCTCTTCTGGGTGTTCACTAATTTTTGAAGGAAAAATAAATCAAGAATTAAAATCATTGCTTTGAATAGTAAGCAAAGTCGTCAAGCCAAGAAGTTTTGATGTTAGATATTAAATTAACTTTATTATTCAATATGTATGTATAATATATATATATATATATATATCGCATACTTTTGGGGGGTACTGGGAATTGAACTCAGGACCTTTGGCTTGCTAAAACCAGGGCCCCTACACCATACTTGTAAAGTGAATTTATGTCTGAATACAGTGCAAAAACACTTCATTTTGTATTTGCAAATTTTTTTACTCTTTTCAAGTTGCACTATTGAGAGTTCCCTTATTAAACCTGAAGTTATTAAATATAACTCTATGTTTATTTAGAATGTAGCAGTACAAACTAATATTTCAAATTGTCTGTTTAAAATGCATTGCCTTTAATATATAAAACATATTTTCAAAATTTCCAACAATGAATGTCAGTATATTGTGTTCGTGAAATGTACCAATAAAATTAATTTTTAAAAAGTAAAATGTATGCAATTTTATTACCATCAGTCAGTTGGTAATAAACAGTGCTTCGACTTGTGTAGCAAATTCACCAGAACCACGTATTTTTAAAAATAATAAATAAGCATCAGGAAAAGCTTGAGTATTCCACAGCCTGGACTGCACGAATCACTCCTATGGGCACATTTCACAACGGTGAAAGCCGTCGGATAAGAAGTCACCGCAGCAGCACCAAACAGAACCTGCCAGGCTGAAACCCAGGTGGGATCCGTGCCGAACAGGCGGCTGCCGCCCCCCACGGCTCACGGACCTCAGACCTGGACGGCTCCTGGGTGTGCGGGATGCGAGGCTTCTGCTAGCCTCCGCCTGCTCTGCTGTGCCCACGGGTCAGGTCGGGGCGGAGGCGTGAGGCCCCTGGGCCACCAAGGGCTCAGCGAAAGGCTCGGGGATCTGATCTCGCCTGGCTCCGGGCATCCTCCCAAATCGCTGCCACTCAGTGAGAATCCTAGCATCTTCTACAAGGGCCTGGAATTTAAGCCTCGTCGGTGACAGAATTCACAATTCAGTCTGGTCTTGGTTCACCCCCGGGCCCTACTGCTCATAAATTTCATGAGGAATAAAGTGGGGTCCCTGCTCCTTTCTGGCCAGTCTGGTTCTGTATCCACGTCCCGGCTAGTGGTCCAGGACTTCCTGCACAGAAGTAGGGCTGCGCGGAGATCTGACCGCTCCTCAGGCTGCTCTGGCTAGGCCTGAACACTGGGGTCACAGGTGAGCAGTGATGGGCTCTGGGGTCCTCTCTTCTGAGAGCCCTGAGCACTGCTTCTCCCTCCAATCACAACCACGAGAGCAGTGGGGACCGGCGCCCGCTCCGTGCACTGCGCAAGCACAGACCTGCGTTTACACCTCGCGTCCTTGTGTTATTTTTGCACCTGATGGAAGAAACTTTTTTTTTTCTTCTTAACAGTCCTTTGGCCCAAAG